GATGTTAAACAGGAGGTTTTCAGAAATTCAGAAAATCTGTTTCTGTGTCCTACTTCAAAATCTGCAATTTAACGGGTGACTTTTATACTACTATAAATGGAAAAACACTGATGTGAAGAGCTGCTCTAGGGCCAGTGAAGTGGCTCAGTGAAAAGCACAAGCCCCATATGTGTGGCTTTTGATTCCCTGAATAACACCTCACCAAAAAGAAACGAAATAAAACAAAACAAAAACAAGAAAACAAGGTGTTACTCTGAAAAAATATTAACATCCAAACTAGTATTAGACCTTGGAACTGAGTGCATATGATCAGGAATTCACTAAAAGTGAGTTCAAAGAAAAAAAAAGTTACCAGGTTGCCAGCAAAGATTGCAAGTTTGGATTTTTCTATTGTTTTAACATGATAAACTAAATATATGACCGTAGAAAAGAGCTAAGAAAGACCATTAAAAAATACTGTCAGGTACACCCATTTGACATATTAACTTTGAAGACAAGATGTTCTTTAATTTGGAAAGCTGGAGAGAGAATAAAGCCAACAGGGTGCTTGCCTTGCATGCAGCTGACACATTCAATCTGTAGTAGTACATATAGACCCCATCAAGCACTGCCAAGAGTATTTCCTGAATGAAGAGCAAAGAATAACCTCTGAGCATCACCAAGTGTGCTCCTCACCACCACCCCCCCAAAAAAAAGAACTAAAAAAAAGAGATGTTCTGTTCTTTAGAGATATTTTCTTGATACAAAGTTATTTTTCAGTAAAAGAGCAGATTATGTTTTCAAACTTCTGCCTACTAAATAAAACCCACTTAAAGTACTTTTATGACTAAGTATCTCTCTCTGACTATATAAAGTCATATTTGCAACTGCTTCTCTCTTAACTGTTCTAACTTTTCATCTTATTTTATGTCAGATAACATTTTAACTTTGAAGACCTCTTAAACAATGGAAAAGCTGAAAAAGAACAGTTACTGTCACTACTTGCACACACTTCTCCAAGGTTCATAGTGGAAATGTTTCCTGTTTGTTTTTTCCTCGATCAGAGAGAAGAGGAGAGAAAGAGGGTAGGGGTGGGGGGAAGGGGGAGGAGAGGGAGAAGAGAGGGAGAAGAGAGAGAGAACATTTCATGACATTCATGACACAGCACTTAGAAATGTTCGGGACAGTTGTTGCAGAAAAGTACAATATGGATCTGCCTGTTTCCTCAAGATGAGGTCCATGTTAGACAACTTTTGGGTACAGATTTTGGCAAGAATATGGTAACACAAAGCTTTGTTTTTATCATACTAATAGTTCCCACATCTGCTTCATGTCTTCAAGTAATAAAATCTTTGAAATATACGGTTTTGTTTTTAGTTTCTTTGCTATTTCCCCCAAAGCATGTAGCACAATCTCTGTCTATATAACGTACTGAATAAATTAAAACTTAAAAGTAGAGTTGACAACTATTTCCAAGAATGCTTCCTATACACTGAACAATTTTATGCCGGCTAAAAATATTTGGACTTTGTCTTTAAATTTCTGAGAGGAATAACTAAGCAGTTATTCTAATATGGTTGTAACTAAACAAGAAGTAGAGAATTCAGCAGTATCTAGGTGTCTCGCTCGTACAGTCTATGTAAAAGATCTAGGACTAAAGGCAGACATGAGACAGGCCTGCTGAGACCAAAAGATGAAGAGATAAAGAATGTGTTCACATATTTTATCCCACACAAAAATATGAGTAAATGAAAGTTTAAAATGAAGATAGGGGGCTGGAGCTATAGCATAGCGGGTAGGGTGTTTGCCTTGCACGCAGCCAACCGGGGTTCGATTCCCAGCATCCCATATGGTCCCCTGAGCACTGCCAGGAGTAATTCCTGAGTACAGATCCAGGAGTAACCCCTGTGCATTGCCGGGTGTGACCCAGAAAGCAAAATAAAATAAAATAAAATAAAATAAAATGAAGATGGAAGGGAGGGTGGAGAGAGTACTGGGTGTAAGGTGCTTGCCCTGTATAAAGTCAGCTCTGAATCAATCCCCAGCATCACGTGGTTCCCTAGCACCAAGCATCACAGGGTACAGTCCTGGAGAACCCTGAGTATTGCTGGGGTGTCGTGAGGGATCACTACAGGGCCTAACAGAGCATCTTCAGGCCTTCACATTGAACCGCCAGCCTGGCTGGTCAAAAATCACTGGAAGGGACCTAGAGCCCTCCAAACATGGATCCAGAGGCTAAAACAGAGCCTGGAGTAAGCCCTGAGCGCAGGTGGGTGTGGTCCCAAAACAACAACTAAAATTTTCAAGATAAAACAAAAAAAAATCTTCTAAGTATCTTGAGTCAGATATTGATGATAAACTATTAGGAAAGAAAGAAGATATAATTTAATTCATTTTTAAATAATAGAGCACCTAATGGGCTGGAGCAATAGCACAGCGGGTAGGGCATTTGCCTTGCAAGCGGCCAACATGGCCGATTTGAGTTTGATTTCTCTGTCCCTCCTGGAGAGCCCGGCAAGCTACCAAGAGTATCTCGCCCACAAGGCAAAGCCTGGCAAGCTACCCATGACATATTTGATATGCCAAACACAGGAACAATTGTCACAATGGAGGCGTTACTGGGCCTGCTTGAGCAAATCGATGAACAACTGGAGGACAGTGACAGAGCACCTAATAGCAGTATAGGTGGACAACAACACTACAGTATTAAAACTCAGGTATTTTATACAAAACGGGGTTTGGGATATAGTTTTAAATTTTTAAAGCATGAAGTATACTTTCAAATTTTCCATTTAGATGAAGCTTACTAAAATGGAAATTAAAATGTTGTTTAATGTGTCATGAAAAGAGAAGGAATGAAATAATTGTGCAGTAACTGTGACTTGTTTGAGGCACTGATTTTATACAGATGAGACCAGAAAACAATATATTAGAGAACATTTGATATATACAAGCCATTTCTAATTAAGACCAGTTTTGAAACTACCAGCTGATATTTTGAAGCATACCTGCAAATGATTTAGCCTACTCCAATATTTTGTAGCACACAAACATGTTTTATTTTATTTTTTAATTTTATTTATTTTTCTTTTTGGGTCACACCTGGCGATGCACAGAGATTACTCCTGGCTCTGCACTCAGCAATCACCCCTGGCAGTGCTCAGGGGACCATATGGGATGCTGGGAATTGAACCTGGGTTGGCCACGTGCAAGGCAAACACCCTACCCGCTGTGCTATTGCTCCAGCTCACGCAAACATGTCTTAAATGTTATTTATCATGTGATCCAATTGCTTTTAAGATAACATACTTCTCTTCTGATGGATGTCCCTCCCCTTCTCACGTATATCTAACACATTATCTTTTTTTTTTTTAATTTTAAATACCAGAAGCTTTCTCTCGGGCAAATGCAACCAGGAAAATGTACCACTGTATATACTGTGTACAAATGTCATGTAGGTGAGCTTCTTTAGATTTATATTTCATAAAAAGAAATGGCGGATGTCAGTGTCAGACTCTATGTTGACTGACAATTTTGTATTGCTGGACATAAAATAAGTCAAAATTGAGGCAAGCTCAATATGAGCAACAGTTTCTTTAAAAATCTTGCTTCTAAAGAAATCTAAAATAACTATAAAAGCATTGAAAAATGTTTCTCTTAAATATTTTTAAAAGCAATCATGCAAATAGATTTAAAATCTACTACATGGTGTATAGAACCTGATTATTCAGGACTTGCCCTTGAGATATACAGTATTACAGAATGAACAGTGTTTATTACCCACTTAGCTAAATAAGCTTATGTTTCTTCTCATTTACAGAAGTTATTTGGTTTGGCACATGGATGTGGATTTTTGGTTCTATAAAAAGAGTAATTGAGAATACAGTAGAGAGCCAAGAATACGATGCCATATAGCATTCGTCTTCACAAGAGCTCTCTAGCAAAAAAGCGAAAGTTAACCCCTTGAATCAAAGTTATTATTTTGCTTCATTGTAAATAATGGCATAACATTGTTATGCTAAAACAATGGGATGAGTCAATTCTGCAACAATAAAACTCCCACTATTCCCCAATAAATATCATCTAATGATAAAACAACTAAAATGTTTCTAATAAGAGTATCCCAATATATTTGATATTGAATACTATTTCAAATATCACATTTTCGTCTTGTCCTGTTCAATTTCCAACCTTTCAAAGTTTGCTAAGGGAATATATTATGCTACTACTGCAGAACTGGTGAGTGAACTTTTTTTCATCAGATAATGTCCTCTACTTTTCTTAAAATTACATTATAAAATTACCTAGCCAGAGGCCGGAGAAATGATGTAGGATAGGAGTCGTGCTTTGCATACACCTTATCTTAGTTCGTTCTCCAGCAGGACATCTGGTCCCTAAGTATCTTCATCTTCCCAATAGAAGCACCCCTCAGAATAGAGCCAGGAGTAAGCCCTGACTATGCTGGGTAAGGTACAATTGCCTCCACCCTACACGTACACAATTAGCTACTTAAATATTTATCTAAAATTCCACAAGTTAAAAGGCAAGATTATATTGAAATTAGAACCCACAATCCCTGTTTCTCCAGGAGTTTACATCTAATATTTATATAAATTATTAATTAGAATGACATTCATGGTCTAGTCGCAACGTGACCCAGATAGAATATAGGCACTCATCAAATAAAGATTACTCTATCGTAAGCTGAGACAACATAATAATTTTAATTGCTAGACATCTCCTATTATTTAAAAGGGTATTAAAATAAAAAGTATAAATGTTAAAAAATTCAAGCTATTAATTCAATTCACAAATGTGTGAATATATACTTTCTATAAGGAAATGAACGAAGTAACTGTGAAGGATATAAAACTACAGTAAAGTTTGTTGATTACTTTTCCAAAGTCTCAGAATTCATTAGGATGACCATCCACATCCCAGAAAATACCCTGTCCTTTGAGAGACTAAATTTGAGTGATAAAGTGTCTGAAAACTTTTACATATTCCTTATGTGATATTACCTGATCTTGCAGTGACATCACTGGATTATTTTTGGTAGTGTTGATATGAAGAACATGATATTTATTCTTTGCACACAGGTCATAGGCAATATTGGTAAAAGACGTGCTTGCAGTTTTGGGGACTCTGTTATAAATGATCACCATGTCATCTTCCTCATCGGAAGCTGTATCTTGCCGAGGGCCATCCATGGTATGTCGCTGTTCAATTTCTCGAACTTCATGTCTTGCAATAGCTCTTTCTGCAAAGAAACATAGATCAACTCAGTATTTAAATACACTATAAAGTGGTTATAAAACATTGGAAATAATTTCCTATTCCCGAATATAAGTTTCTTACTCAAGAGCTAGATAAGAACAGTTGAATATTTTGAGAACAAAAACTTCAGAATTAATCCTTGAAGAGTGAGACATATGAATATCAAGAACAAAATAATAGTCATCAAATTCAGACTATCTCAGGGGGCAAAGAGACTATAGGGTTTACAGTTCTTGCCAATCCGCATATCCTATGCTTCCTGCAAGCAACACCAGGGGTGAATCCTGAGCACAGTGTCAGAAGCCTTGAGCATCTGCTAGAGGTGGCCCCCAAACCCACATCAAATCAAAACGGAAAAAGCAAAAACCTATATACCTCCAAAGTCACTTTACATTCAAACAGAATTTCTATAGCCTGAACCAGTTCTCAAGTTCATAAAGACATACTAATTGTACAAAATACTAAACTTCAAGTAGAAATTTAGTATTTCTACTAAACGGACAGGGGCAAGAGAGAAGGTGTAGGAAGTAAGGCACCTCGAAGGCAACTGTGTTGGCTGTGGCCCTGGTTTCATTCCCAGCACCACATACACTCAGTCCTCTGAGTACCATCAGGGTCACTCCTGAGTACAGAACCTTCAAGAATAGCCCCTGAATACTGCTGGGTAGGGCTCAAGCACTCCTCCCAGTAATAAATAAAATGCACTTAGAAAGCCTGAGAGATAGTACATGCTGCCAACCAGGTTTAATCCCTGGCACCACATATGATTCCCTGAACTCCCCTCCCCCCACCAGGAGTGATCCCTGATCAGAGAGATAGGGGTAAGCCCTGAACACTGCTGGGTGTGGCCCCCAAAACCAAAATAAAAAAAGAAAAGAAAAGAAAATGCACTTAGAAAATAACATAATTTGACCAAAGATTGTGAAATTTATTACTTCAAATTTAGCTACTCCAAGATTTATCTAAATGCCTACAGTCTGGATTCTGTCCCAAACAATCTCAAATTGTTACTGGAACCCCATAGGTGTGATGGAGAGCCAGAGTTGCAAAAACACTGCCATGGAAACTCTCCCTTTGATGGTGAATAACATGTAAGTCCTGACAACGTTCCTCCATGTCCCTTCATGACTTTGGTAATTCAAACCAATATTTACTCTTCAGTTTGTGACAGTTACAATCTCAAACTGTCACCACAGTTCAAGACTACTGTGGTGGTGTTGTGTCCACAAACTCTTTTTCTGTTAAAGGAAATAAAAGAGAATTGTTGATATTCAAGTGATGATTTCCTCTAGGAGCCCAGATATATGTGAACTTGCCTTTATAATATTCATCTATAATCACCAAAACTGAATTTTCAGTTTTTCCTAAAATCAAATACTTTGAATATTTTTATGATTTTAATAAATCTACAGCTAATCATTTACCTATAGAAAAGATGATTAAAGAAAACTACAATAGTAACAGTGTTGTAATCCCATCTATTTATACATTTTTACAGGCTTAACTGTTTTGAAAACTAGCTAATAAATTTAAATGTGTTTTTTTTTAATTTGTACATTAAAAAAAAATCTGAGGCTGGAGAGATAGTAGAGGGAGGTAAAGCATTCACTTTACATGTTGCAACCTGTGTGTGATCCCTGGCACTGCATCTGATCCCCAAAGCACTGCCAAAAATGACCCTGAGAACAAAGCCAGGGGTAAGACATGGGTATCAAAAAAACAGAAGAAAAAAACCTTTCTTTGGTGCTTAAATGCCAGTTAAATCATAAAATCAACATGTTTTGAAAATTAATGATTATTCTTGATTCATAACATATTAAATTATATTATCTTTTAGTATCCTGCCCACACAGCAAAGCCTGGCAAGCTACCCGTGATGTATTTGATATGCCAAAAACAGTAACAAGAAGTCTCACAATGGAGACGTTACTGGTGCCCGCTCAAGCAAATCATTGAACAACGGGAGGACAGTGCTACGGTGCTACAGTGCTATTATTTCACATAAACTTTAATTTACAAAATAATAAAGATGAGTTACTACTTTCCTCATTTATATAGTAATTTATGTGCATTTTGTATTTTTGTTTTGTTTAAACAGATTACTGATAACATAGTGTTATACCTAAGAATACATTTAAAGGTGAAGATAATATGAAAAATGAATGGAACTTTTTTTTGCAATATTTTTTTTTAAAACCAAACCTCAATTGAACAATAACATTAACTACTGTTGATGGTAACAGTAAACTGGTCTCATTTCTTCTGTGACAATACTTCAATACTTCAACCAGTAAGATCTTTTACAGTATGGCCATATTTTTAACTTACTAAATATTCAAAAGTTCCAGTTCTTATTTTATCAAAGATGCTCTGCATCTGGTTAGTACACAACCTTGAAACTCTAAATCAACGGAGAGGCTTTATTACGTATAGAACGTTTGTAAGTGCACTTAGAAAATGTAGGCGGTAAAAATAATACTTAAAATGCATTTTGAAGCAATGCTTTTTGTTTTATGTTCGAATCATGAATCAAAGAAAATCTGCTATGCAAGCTATTTCAGAACCATCATAACATTCATAGTGTACATGGGGCTGGAGACATAGTACAGGGGTTAAGGTGCTTGCCTTGTGAACAGCCAACCCAGATTCAATTCCAGGCATCACACATGATGCCCCAAGCATCAGAAGAATCACTTCATTAGAAGTGATTCTTGAGCAAAAAGCCAGGAGTAAGTCCTAAGCACCACTGGGTGTATCACCCCCCCCCCTTAAAAAATAAAAGCATAGTGTAGAAATAATGAGTTGCAATGTGAGCCATGAAATTACAGACAGTTCAGGCACTCCTGTGTCCCACACTGAAGATGGACACTGATCTCCATAGCAATTCTAGTTTGTGTAGGCTCCTCTTGGCTTGATCTCAGCACAGTGGGTCTTTTTATTGGACAGATAATAAGTGCAAAGTGTCAAAAAGATAGAACAGCAGAAAAGGTGCTTGCCTAGCACACAGATGGCTGGGATTCAATCCTGGTATCACCCATGATCACCTGAGCAACTGCCAGGCATGACTCCTGAGCACGAGCGAGGAGTAATACCTGAATGAAGCCAGGTGTGGCATAAAACTCCCAAATAAACGACCAAATAAATTCAAATCCTTTTTTTGAAGGGGGGGCACACCTGGCAGTGCTCATGCATTACTCCTGGCACAGCACTCAGGAGTCTGAGCAGTGCTCTGGGGACCATACGCTAGGGATCAAACCTGGGTCTGTCACATGCAAAGCAACTGCTTTACCCAGTGTGCTATCTCTCCAGTCCCAATAAATTCAAATCTTCTAAGAGATAATTTTTTTCTTTTTTTGCTTCTTTGGTCACACCAGGCAATGCACAGGGGTCTCTCCTAGTTCTGCACTCAGGAATTACTCCTGGCAGTGCTTGGGGAACCATATGGGATGCTGGGAATCGAACCCGGGTCAGCCACGTGCAAGGCAAACGCCCCACCTGCCGCACTATTGTTCCAGCCCCAAGAGATAATTTTCAGTAGCAATGATATTTCTACACTGCCAAGGCATTAAATGTCTTGTTTACTGAATAAATATAATGATCAAATGTATAAAACACTGCAACGTAAGCAAATACAATAACCTAAATTGTTTGTACCACTGGTCACAAGGATCAATAAATCAAACTATAGAGGGTAACTAAATGTTTTTCCTTACAACAGGTCTTTTAATGGCAACTTTTCACTATAAAGAAAATTACATTCATAATTTTAAAATTCCCCCAAAAGAAATCATAGATGGTTTGGTGGGGGTAAATTCTATGTCACTATGTAACAGACCCAAAACTACTCATTCACAGGATGAGAGCAAGTGAAACTTGGGATTACTAGTTTAGAAAGGTATTTTCCAATTTAAGTGAGTTGTAACATCCCTAAGGGCACTAGAATGTCCAGGGGTGGGTAGTGGTAATAATCACTGAAGCAATAGTGGTACTGCCTGCTTGTCTGCTTAAAGAAGATAACTGGAGGGGACTCCCCCTTACCCCCTCTGCCAACAGCAAGTAGTTCGTGGTCCCACGCAATACAGCTGAGATCGACCACTGAGCACAGAACCAAGAGCAGTCCCTGAAAAGCTTCCCCATATGGCTTAAATCCCCACCCCCAGTCAAATTAGATATCATATAGTAATGTTCCTTGAATTAGATGTTGATATCGCAATTCAGTGTTCCCCCCACCCCCAACCCCTTGCATGCAACTATTTCCATCCCTGATACCACATATGGTCCTGAGAACCTGCCATGAGTGATCCCCGAGTATAGAGGTAGGAGTAAGACCCAAGCACTGCTAGGTGTACCCCAGAAACAACAACAACAAATTACAGAAGCCACCCACATACCTCTGAGTTATCTCTAAAGAGGTAGAGAGTTATGTCCTTTGTTGAAAAACAGGAATTAAAGATAATATGGATGAAGAGCTAAAACTGGATTCCCAATGAAATATTATAATAAACACTTGCGACTTTACTTTTTAAAAACATGTCAAGCATATCACTGATCTCCTTTATTCTCATTAGTTACTTCAGTTTATTCAAATCTTGAAGAACAGCTTCTCAGGAAGAATAAGACAAGCAGAAAATTGCTGCTAACTCGAATAATAACCTGTGGAAATTATCAAAGCACTTCCTACTTCAAAGAAAAGTAAAAACAATGACCTCTGCAAAGGCTTTTTAAAGGCATTTCAAAAACATTCCTCTATTAAGTACTAAGTCAGAAATATAACCTAACTTTTCATACCAGATGTCTTGCTATTGCTTTCCTATTTTTGCGTCCTATGGGATCAACAAAATTAAACATAATAAAGATTAAAAATGATGGAGTTGTCAGCTGAGAACAGGCCAGAGCCATGGTGAAGTGTTGAAAGTTCTGGCCTACCTCCATCTAAAGCACAGTACACACAGACAGACGGATGGATGAACACACATATACACA